TCCTGTGAGCGGCCTCGTGCGCTTCCTGGTCCTGAGAGCAAGACCGCGTTGAAGAAGTAGGCGGCCAGGCAGCGCAGACTCCAAGAGCTTCCGCCAGAGTTCCACGATGCATTCGAGGAGCTGCATCCTCCAGCAGACCCGCCTGTTGAGAAGGCGGCCTTTCATGTCCCTGAGGAGATCTGGGAGGAGGCGGGGGCTCAGGTTTATTGGGAAGGAGTTCCTCCTGCACTTCACAGTTGCGAGCCCTCTGGGTTGTCTGGCCGCCATGCTCCCTTTGATCGGGCTCATCATTGCACTTTTGATTGGCAGGCGACAGCTCGCACTTCTCTGGATGAACGGCATGCGCATTGGACTACCGTGATGGAGAGAGCGGTGCTGCTGCATGAGAAAGTTGACTCAGACAAATGGTACATGTATTCTGGTCGGGCTGGTGGCCCTTCGTGTTGCTGGAAGCAGGTGCGCTCTGCGCCTGGAACGAGCTCACATGCGGAATGAGCAGGCCGAGTGGTGGGGACAGACGAGCACGCTGGTCATTCGTTACGCTTCGCTCAGGAACAATGTGTCTGACCCCCACCAAGCAGCCCAGTGCGCTGAGCATGCGCGCAAGATGATCGAGCAGCTCGACGGTGTGGACGACGCGACCTATTTCGGCAAGAAGCAAGATCCCCAATATATCTTCGCCTCGAAGGGTATGGTCGCGAACCTGGACCTGATAGATCTTCAGTCTTCACCAGAGTTGCAGGAGAGAGCTCGCAGGTGGGCCGACCTCTCAAATGCTCGGGCCATGATGGCCTCCAGGTCCCAGTTCATGGAATGGGTTCAGGAGATGCGGGCCACTAAACCAGGGGCTGTTCACAGGCACGTCGAGCCTGCTGCGGCCCCTGTTTGGGAAAGTAAGGACCCCTTCGGCACCGTCACATCGGACAGCCAAGAGATGTTACAAGGTCTGGCAACGGAGTGGATGACGATGTGGACCGATCCAGTGGACCAGCCGCAGCACATTCTGGAGATTATGCAGAGATGCTTGGAGGCTGCGCGTGCTGACCCGCTTCCTGCCATTACCTTGTTGGATCTGGATTCTGTTCTGCCCAGGTTACCTGCCAAGAAGGTGAACGGAGTTGATGCAATGAGCCCGTTGGACATCCAGCGACAACCAACACGTGCCCGCCTACTCTTCGTGGACACCCTGAACGCTGTCGAGGCGGCGGGCGCCTGACCTTCGGCGATCAGCACGGTGCTGGGGGCTGCCATCCCGAAGGGGGCTGGAGGCTGTCGCGTGCTGGGACTGGTCCCAACGGCCCGCAAGGTTTGGTCCGAGATTCGCTCTCAGACGGTTTGCGAATGGTCGGCCTCTCTCTCTGCCTTTTGGGATACTGCGATAGCGGGATCTTCATCCTTGAGGGCGGCGCTGATACGTGCTGTGTTGGACGAAGGCGCCCATGAGCTATCCTTCGAGCACGCTGCGTTGTTCTTGGACTTGGCCAAGTTTTACGATTCTGTGAGCTTCTTATTGCTGGTGAGGGCTGGCTTGGGTATTGGATTTCCACCGATTATTTTGTTGCTTGAGATATGCTGGTACTCGGCCCCTCGGCTTCTGAAAAAAGGCCAGATGATTTCTGACACGGTCGAGGTGACCAGGTCGATAGTTGCAGGGTCAGGGCTAGGGGTTCCGCTGGCCAAGGTCATCTTGCACAGACTTCTGGAGACAGTACGCCGTGCGGTTCCCCCTGCTGGCCTGTGGAGCCACATCGATTACGTAGCCGGCCGAGCCGAGGGCTCCAATCAGAAGGTGATTGTTGAGCTGGAGGCGACGGCAGATGTTATGGCTACCGGCTTGGGTGAGTTACGTTTACACATTTCTTCGAAGACCAAATTGGTGGCCAGCAGTGATGACATTGGTCGTGGGTTGCAGAAGCGGTTGAGGAAGAACGGCATTCCAGTTGAGTACGTGAGCGTCACAGTTGACCTCGGCTCGGATGCTGCCGCTGCTCGAAGACGGGCCACTCCTCGCATGAATAAGAGGCGTGCTCAGGCTCGACGCAGACAACGGAAGGTCATGAAAGTACGACGTCTCGGCCGTGTTCGCCTTGTGACTAAAAAGTTGTGGAACTCTGGAGTTTACCCGTCCGCAGTCTTTGGCCATCAGATGATGGGCGCCCCTCCATCTGCTCTTTTGGCTATGCGGCGTGATGCGGCTGCTGCAGTGGCGGGCCCAAAGAAGGGCAGCTGCCTCAACTCTGTGCTGCAGGCTGTGTATGGTACGGCGGACCCTGGAATCGATTTGAGACGGCAGCTGCTGCGCGAATGGGTATCCTTGTGGCTGACCCAGCCGTGCCTGCGCCCCAGGATCAAGGAAGCGTGGCCTGTAGTGTTGGCGAAGCTCAAGCACGGGAGAGCCACCAATTGGAGAGATGTGCGCGGACCGATTGCTGCACTGCAGGCGACCCTGCTTCAGACTGGCTGGGGCCCACAGTCCCCCCTGGTCTGGTCTCGCCCTCTACCTGATGGCACGATTGACGATTGGCTCTTCCCGAGTTCCGCGGCGAGCAATTCGGCACTGCAGTATTGGCGCACTTTGACGACATGCTGGGCGCGTTCATGGATGATTGTCTGATGCAGCAGTGGCAGGCCGCCTCGCAGCGCGAGGCAGGAGAGGACTTAGTGAACGGCGCTGACATGACCACGGTGACCATCGAGCTGAATCGTTTCGCCAAAAAGCTCCAGTTCGAAGAGTGGTCCGCGGACATTGCCGTCATCGGGGGCGGCCAGTGGACTCGTGAGAGGCAGATTGCCGCAGGTTGTGCCTGTCCGCCGCTCTGCCCCCGCTGTAAAGAAAGGCCAGAGACTTTAGCGCATCGGATTTGGACATGCCCCGCGAATTGCGGGCATGACGATTTTGTCAAAACGGATTTCTTCGTGCCCCAAGCTCTTGCGGGCCTTGACGCGCTGCCAGCGCTGTGGCTCCGTGGAGCCCCCCCGAAGGACTTTGTGGTGCCCAAGTTCGTTGAGGCCCTTGAGGTTGCCCAAAAGGTCATTCTTGGGGTGGGCTGTGTTTTGAACCATGGTGTTGCTCCTGGTGCTCCTCCCTTGTACATCTTTGGAGGCGGCTCTGGAGGCGAGAACAGTTCGGATTCCAGGCGGCGTCGATGCGGCTCGGCCGTTTTAGTCATGCGCCAGGATCCCTCTTCGCCGTTCTGGAGCCCCGTCGGTGGAGTTGCCCAGGTGCTTGTGGGTAGGAAGCAGACAGTGCCACGTGCTGAGCTTCAGGATTTCTGTCTTGCTCTCGAGTGCTCGGTCGGTCCGATTTGCTACGTGACCGACTGTAAGAGCTTGGTTTCTGATTGGCATGCTGGACGTGCCAAGTTTCATCGGGGCCAAAACGGCGACCTCTGGGTTCGTGCTGGACGGGGCCTCGAGGCCCGTGGCCCTGGGGAGGTTTCTCTGCTCTGGACCCCTTCGCACAGGGAGGGAGATTTACAGACGGTCAAGACTGAATTCGAACTGTTCTTGAGTCTTGGCAACGCCGCCGCCGATGCATGGGCTGGATTTGCGCCTGGAGTTGGGACTGGTGCGTGACGACCCCTGCCCCCCAGACGGACTTTTGGGATACGACGGCGGCGCTGGTCAGGCTTCGGGCCCGTCGGGCCTTGATGATGGCGCTTGAGGTTGAACCCTGGGTCGGCGTGCGGCCACGGTGTGTCAAGAAACGTCCGCGCAAGGGTAAATTCTGTCTTGCTGTAGAGGCCAGCCACCATAAGTTTGCCCCCTCTGCTGGCCGTTGGAGATGCCGACTCTGCCACCTCACCCTCCCTCGGTGTAATGTGCCGAAGGCTGCCTCGACCCCGTGCGCCCCTCTCCCTGTCGCCAGTGGGCTGGGCGCGGCCGTTGAAGGTGTCCTCCCCCCTGAGTATGGAGAGGGCTTCGAGGTTGTCCAGGGCGAGATTTCTGTGGGCGGAGTCGCACTCCATCCGTCACACTCGCTGGCAAAGATGAAGGCGTTCAATTTCGTTTTTGTATGCACTGCGGCTTCACTGCTATGACGGCAGGAGGCTTCAGTTTGAGTGTGCCCCCCCGACCAACAAAAGGGGGGAAGATTTGGTTCGAATTCGCCGCGGTTGTTTCCGTCGCACCGAGGCCCGCCCAAGAGTGCGCGTGCCGCCCAGGCGTGTGACGCGGCGAGCAGAGCTGGCCCCGTGCTTTCGGAGGAACTGCGAGAGCGTGCGAGTCGGTGAGGCCAATGGCGCCTCTGCTCAGCGCTCCCGAGTGCGAGTATCTGCGCACGTCGGCCGACCGCCATCCGAGCGCGATGGCCGACGCGATGACCTTGCAGGACCTGCTGCCGCCGCCGCCTGCTGCCCCCTTTGCTGCTGCGGCCGCTGCCCTGAGAGAGACGGTCGAGCGCCTCCGAGCGGAGGCTAGCTCGAGTGCAGGCGGACCGCCCAGGGTTCGAGCGGAGGAGCGCAGCAGTGAGGAGGAGCAGCAGCAGCAGCAGCAGGCTGATTGCGCGGTGCTGGTGGACAACGGTGACAGCGACTGAGGGGTTTTGGCCACGTGTGTGGCAAGGCAGCAGAATCCAGCAGAATCCTTTTCCTCCTCCCCCCCTCCTCCTCCTCCTCCTCCTCCACCTCCTCCTCCTCCTCCTCCTTCTTCTTCTGAGAAGGCCATCTCCTTCTCATTTCCCCCCTTGCGCGGGCGTGCCGCCGACTGGCGACCCGGGGGGCTGCCTCTCCACGCAGGGCCACTGTGCTCGCCGGGCACTTCGGGGCTCAAAAGACGGGGGTCAATGCAAACGGGGGTCAGCCAGAGCGCTGGATCTTGCAGGATCCCGCAGGGCCAGGGCTGCATTGACCCAGGCTTGGGCGCAGGATCTTGCAGGATCCTGCAACGCCTGGCTGGCCCGGGACAGTGGATCCCCTGAGGCACGCCGCGCACGGGTGATGCCCGCCGCCCCGCGCGTGGCTCGGCGTGGCGCCCCTCCGGTGGGCCCGAGCCACGCGGAGGCGAACGCGGACGTCTTGCGCCTGGCCCAGCAGTTCGGGCTCGCGCGCCTCGAGGCCCCCCGAGGGGATCGTCCCCGTCGTTGTCGTCGTCGTCGTCGTCGTCGTCGTCGTCATCGTCCGTCGTCGTCGTCGTCGTCGTCGTCGTCGTCGTCGTCGTCATCGTCGTCGTCGTCGTCGTCGTCGTCTTGGTCGTCGTCGTTCGTCGGTCGTCGGTCGTCGGTCGTCGGTCGTCGGTCGTCGGCGTCGGCGTCGGCGTCGTCGAGGGGATACGAGGAGCAGCAGCAGAGCGAGAGTGGGCGGATGCAGAAGACGATGGAAGCAGGAGTAGCAGCAGCAGGAGGGGCAGGGTTCGCCATTCGCCGAGGAACAAGTCAACGGCAACAGCGGAACATCCGGATTTTCTGCTGCACTGTCCGTGTGGAGACGCTCTGGCCACTCCCAGGGGCCACTTACACAGGCAATGAGGCCCAACACGGATATTGGACACGGTTATCATGGCAACGACGCAATGGCGATTGTGAAAGTGGTTGTGGTGATTGAAACGGTGATGATGACGATGATGATGATGATGACGATGATGATGATGATGATGATGATGATGATGATGATGATGATGATGATGATGATGATGATGATGATGATGATGATGATGATGATGATGATGATGATGATCATGATGATGACGATTTTGATGATGGTGATACTGTTGATGGTGATGATGGTGATGGTGAATGTGATGGTGATGGTGGGGGTGATGCTTGTGACTGCTATTATACGCTGCCAGTCTGGGCTCGCAGAGCCCTAAAGGAGGCCATGGAAGGCCTCTGGAGGGCCTGAGACAGCTCGAGCGAGCTCCAAGACGTCCCAAGAGTTCTTCATTGGTTTTGTTATGCCGTAGTAGAGACCCCAAACAGCCACGCTGCATGAGGAGACGAATGGAGAGTCAACATCGAAATGCGCGTGCACGGCACGACACGCTGGCACAGCATGGCACGCGGGCGCGGCACGGCACGGCACGGCGCACGCACGGCACGTCACGGGCACGGCAAGCTGCGGCACGTGGGCGGCCGGTTGTTTGCCTTCTGAATGCTGGGCACGGCACGGGCACGGTACCGCACGCGGTCACGGCACGGCAAGCGCGCACGGCACGGCACGGCACGCCGGCGGGACATTTTTCGCGTGCTCGAGCGCGGGCACGGCTTGCGCCCCAGCCACGTGCATGTTGTGGCGCTCCTGCCACCCACCCATAGTTCTCAGGCAGGGTACTCTGCAGTTTGGAGTCTGAATCGGTTTTGTATGGATTCTTCCATTTTCCATATGGGGCGTGGATTTGCGCATGGATTCCGCGGCGCGAGCCACAGAACATCAAACGCAACAGTTGGTATTGATTCTGGTAGGGATTCTGTATGGGTTTTCCCACTGCAGAGCCATGTAGAATGATATAGGAGCTGGCCGCTGGAAAGGAGGAACATCCATGTGGAATCCGACCGAAATTCATGCGAGAATCCATGCGAGTAACCATGGGAATATGCCGCGCCGTGCATGGACAGCGGCGGTCAGCAACGAGAAACCAGCAAACTATATCCATGCATCGAATCTGCAATATGTCTTGTCTGATAGCTCTAATTGAGGAACCTTTTGCGGTGGGAGCCCATGGGGTCATCCATTCCATTCGGTAAACTTCATCGAAGAGATTTGATGAAGCCTGGTTTGGGGCGTTTCGCTCGGGACATTTTCGAACTTTGCCCAGTTTGGCCACTGGCTTGGCCTGGTTTGGCCAGGCTCCCCACCGGAGACACCCTCTCCTTCCGAGTTTGCTTGGTTTGGGTCCTGGGTTGGCTTAGTTTGAGGCCGACTTCGCTTAGGACGTCCTTGCAACTTTGGCTTGGTTTCGACGCGGTTTCGCTCGAGACGTCCTCGCAGTTTGCCTCGATTCGGCGCGGTTTCGCTCGACACGTCCTCGTAATTTGCTTGGTTGGGCCCGATTTGGGTGCGGTTTCGCCTGGTACTTTCTTACGATTTGCCTGGTTGGCCCTGGGTTGGTTGCGGTGTCGCCTGGTACGTCCGTACGATTTGCCTGGTTGGGCCTGGCTTGGGCGCGGGTTGGCCTGATATTCCTTGCGATTTGCATGAGTTGGCCTAGTATGAGCGCGATATTTCATTTGAGACGCCCCATGAGGCGCACTCGAGCGCCAGTCACAGCCGAGTCCAGCCGCAGCGAGGAGGAGTCCAAACCAGGGCAAATACAAGAGACCCCGCGCCAGAGCGCCCAAACTCCTTTCGAGTTGGCGGCCACGGCAGCTAAACATACTGATAGCAATGCCGCTCGCAGAAAACGGGTTCAAGCTATGCGATGCAAGCTGTGTGGTGTAAGCAACGCGGCGCCAATAATGTGTTGTATGGTATGCGGTGCAGGCTATATGGCGCAAGTTACGCGGCGCTAGCTACTCGGTCCAATCTATGTAGCGGAAGCGATGTGGTGTAAGCTATGTGGTCTAAGCTATGTCGCTAGTAAGTGACCGACTGCAAGCTGGCGTTGGCCCGTGGCTATAGACAGCGGGCTCGGCATGGCAAGCGTGCGCGGCACGCGGGCACGGCGCGGCACGGCACGGCACGCAGGCGGTGCATTTTTCGCATGAGAACGCGGGCACGGCACGGCACGGCGGGCAGGCGGGCACGGCATGCCACGGCACGGCACGGCACGCGGACAACATTTCTTTCGCATCTTAGCACGCGTGCCCAGCACGTCCACGGGGGCGGAGCGCATTCGCATTCTGAAGGACGGGCGCGGCACGGCACGCGGGAACGGCACGGCAAGGCACGTGGGCGGCACATGTGTTGCTCTCTAGAACGCGGGCAGGGCACCGCACAGCGCGACACGCGGGCACGGCACGCCATGTGGGCGGCACATCTCCCGCATTCTGAGAAGCGGGCCCGGCACGGCATGGTACGGTACGCGGGGCGGGCGGCGCATTTTGTGCATTCTAGGGCGCGGGTGCGGCGGGGCACGTGGGCACGGCATGGTGTGGCCATAGCACGGCACGCGGTCGGCACATCTCTCGCACTACAGAATTTTATACAACGGTACCTCGCGGCATGCCACGGCCTTTTATCTAGCATTTTCTAAAACTGACGCACGGCACGGCATGGCACGAGACGTGGGCACAGTACGGCACGGCACGGCATTCTGGCGGCAGATCGTTCGTATTCTGCTGTGCTGTCGCCGTGGTCGGCCCTGGAGGGGAGGGAGGGAAGGGGGAGGGGGAGGGGGAGAGAGAGAGAGAGGTGAGTTCTCTGGTTCCCGGCTCCAGCTCTCCCTGCGGAGCGGAGGCAGCGGGCTCCGACCACAGCCGACCCACGTATCCCCACCGCCAGAGCGTTTAGTCATACCCGCCGCCTCAGAGTAACATCCCTCCACCTTCCGTATGTAATTTTTGTATGCAGTCAACGCGCTTAGTAAGGACGCGCGCCTTAATCTAGGGTACTCTTGTTCCCTTGACTCTGCGGCCTGTTTTTTGCTATTCTCATTGGTCGCCCACCGCCCAGAAATCCCAACTTCCGCCTCCAAGGGTCTTACGTCCTTGCCACCCGTCCTTTATGCACGTTTTGAATGTATGTCTCGCGCAGCATAGCACAGAATTTCCCAGAGGCCACAGCCTCCTCCACCCAGACTTAGCTAGGCCCGGGCTCCTGTCCGCACAGGTGGTCGCTCGCTCGCACGCTCGCCGCCTTGGAGCCGTGCCCCCGGGATCCTGAGAGGATCTGCCGAGGAGCGGCAAAGTTGGATGTTTGCCCATCCTCGGGGGGCACGGCGGCGTTTCCTCGAGGGAAGATTCGAGGCCTCCCAGATGGGGTCGGCGTAGATAAGGTCGGAGGATCGCGGCGCATCCCCGATGCATCAGCGATGGGGCTCGATGCGGAGCCCGATTTTCTCCACGCCCACGTCGCCGATGCGCCGCCGACGTCGGCGATGCACCGCTGTCGGCGACACATCGCCGATGCATCGTCGATGCATCGGCGATGCATTAGCGCTGCGGCGCGATCCTCCGACCCCATCTATTCGGACCCCATCTAGGAGGCTTCTACAGAAGCACGACTGCCACGACCAAGATGTCGTGGGATTTTGTTCGACGCCGGTCTTATGGTGCATGCTGGTTGTCGCGGATTCGCGAGGCAGATCCACGAGTCGACGGTGACCAAGATCGAAGCCGACGTTTCTGCATTCGGTCTTGGTAATGGTCCTCGTTTTCTTTCTCTCCAGTTCTGGCGCTGCCCTGAAATCGACGAGCTCCGCGATTCCGAGGGTGGGAGGGTGTCCTCGGCACCACCCGGACAGACTTCTACTATGTGTGCGTCGGCCCCGCAAGAGCGACGCGCACGCTCAGGCATGCTTTTGTATTCGTGGCGGGCGCTTTGCGGCGCTTTCTGGCCATACTGCTCGGTGAACGATATACTGCTCGTGCACTGCATGTTCGTGTCGGACGTGTGCCTCCACCACCAGCAAATAGTATTAGCATGTCCTTCTGCGCCCCATGTCCACTTTATCCGCCGCTCCCAGGGGACCCCAGGGCAGGAAAGCAGCGGCCCTGGGCGTACATGCCTCCCGGTGGTGCACAGCAACGCTGCAGCGCATCGGCTGCATCGGAGCTCGCTGCAAAACGCTGCTGCTTGTCCCCGCCAGCGTGCGAGAGTAGCAACGCTGCCGCGAGCTCCAGTGCGGCCGCTGCAGCGAGCTCCGATGCGGCCGATGCAGCGCCCCAGACATCCGACGACGCGATTTCATCCAAGACCTGCTCCAGAGGTCCCGATCACTTCCTGGGGCCAGCTTTTCCCCTCGGATCCATTTTTGATGGCCCTGGGGCCCCGAAAGAAGGCCCCAGGTGTCGAAATCGAGGACCCGCGCCCAGGCTGGACAAAATCATGTCGCCGGAGATCTGGGAAGCTGCCACGTGGCCGATGCGCCGCCGCGCTGAGCGCCGCCGTCGGGATGAACTGCGCCGCGGGGCGGGACGCTACGGGCGAAGGCACAAAGGCGGCGATCAGGGCGGTACACGCGAGCTGCACGGACGCGAAGGCCCCAGGTGCCGAAATCGAGGACAAGCGCCCAGACTGAAAACGATCATGTCGCCAGAGTTCTGTGGAGCTGCGAGCGGCCGATGGTGCGTTGCGCAGCGGCACGCCGCAGGTGCAGCCTGTTGTCGTGTGGCCTGCGCAGCAGCGGCCTCGGCGGCTTGATCGGTTGATGATGCAGAGCTTGAGCGGCTTCAGCGGTAGAACGGCTTCAGCGATTGAGTACACAGAGCAGAGCATGAGCGGTTGATGATGCATCAGCGGCTTCAGCGGCTTCAGCAGCTTTAGCGCGTGAGGGGTCATGCAAAACAGGAATGGACCTTTTGCATCTTCGCCTTCCTCAAACGAGCTGCAAGGACGCGAAAGGAGTGCGTGGAGTCGGCCGCGGGGTCGGAGGCAGCGCCAATGTCATGCTGGTGCGGCGCCGCACCGGCTGAGGCGGTGCCCCTCCCCGATGCCCCACTGGGCTGTGGCGCAGTGCCCCGGCCCGCTCAGTGGATGTGCCCCTTAGGCCTGCCCCCCCCGCGGGTCCCGCCGGCGGAGGAGCGGGCCGCGCACTGGCTGCTGGAGGCCCTGACCACCGAGAACGCGATCTCCCGGCTGGTGGCACTCCAGGAGTTCGGCCTGATCAGACAGTGCGCCGCTCCTCCCCCTCCTCCCCTCCTCCCCCTCCTCTCCTCCCCCTCCTCCCCCTCAGCCTCCTCCTCCTCCTCCTCCTCCTCCTCCTCCTCCTCCTCCTCCCATCCTCCTCCCATCCTCCTCCCATCTCCCCTCCTCCTCCCCATCCTTCTCCCATCCTCCTCCCATCCTCCTTCCATCCTCCTCAAGGGGAACAAACAACGACATAAACGCAACAACTCAGAACTCCGTGCGGATTTCTTGGATCGGCGCGTGGCCCCCCCCCCCAGGCTGCGCCGTTAGGCGCTGCTCCTGGCGCGCTCTGCGCACCGGGGAGGGGCCTGCAGCGTCGATCTGAGGAATCTGGCCAGACCTCCAACAGTTTATTTATTTCGTGTATTGTTCCCCTACCACCTCCCGACGATCCTCAGGACATGTGTTAGTCCAAGTGTGTGTTCACACAGTCCTGCTCCGCCGATAGCATGCAGCCTGTGTCCGCCCTCGTTGCGTCGCATGCGTCGTATTGGAGGTCCTCTTTGGACAAGCACACGTTAATGGTATCACACGTTCCGAGGATCACCCTCACAGCCGCCCAGCGCCCATGTCTCCCAAGCCCCTTTGGGGCCTTTCCCTGGAGGTCCGAGGGTTCGGGAGGCCCCCTCTCCCCTCCGTTCTCCCTTCGTGACTTCGTCTCGTGCCCGTGTCTGGCACAACAATTTTGGCTACAGGGCGCAATGACATGCGCGAGCTATGGTATACATTAGCTTTCGCCCTCCCCCTAAGACCTCACTCGTATCCCGATGTGACAGACGATGACAATGGTAAGCGGAGCGTGAACGTGGAGGAGGGAGGGCCATCCGTCAGGCCCGCCAAAATCAGTTGAGTCCAAGAAGACCGGCGCCACACACACCGACGACCCAGGGGAACGAGGCGCCGCCACCCAGACCGACTCCCTCACAGCACCCAGTCGGTCATGGACATAACAGTTGCCGGCGGGACCCACCTCAAGGCCAGTCGGTTCTCAGGAGTCCTCAGCGTGGAAGGGATCGTGTGGCACCTCGGGACAGGGTCGCTCGGGACACGAGGTCGGCCGCCAGCGAGCACTGACGCTCGAGATGGCGTTCTCTTGGGCTACGTTCTCGATCCAGCAGTGGATCAGCATGATGAAGAAAACGTGCCGCGAGAAGGCCCAGGCTGCGACGCTTAAGGAGATCGGTTTGCACGCCTTAGTGGGTGCAGCGGCTGGCCAGGCCCTCATTGGCAAACCGGACGTGCATAACCTGAAAGAAGTTCTCGCCAAACGAGGCCACCACGTCTACATCGAATGGACTCTGGTAGGAGAGAGATATGTTGGTAGTCGCAGGTCGTGCAGTACCCATAGTTCGTGCGTGGGTCCCCATCTCATTCGCGGGATGCGGCAGCATAACGGTCCTGATCTTGGAGACTCCTTGCCCTCCACTGCTGCCCGCCAGGATCCTTCTGATGATCGGGGTCGTGTCGGACATGGGGAACGACGACATGACGGTCGGCGATCATGAAAAACAAATGGTGCGCCAGCTTTCTAGGCATCCTTCGGGTCATCGGTCCGTATCCCTCGTGCGCTTCGGCCCAGAGCACTACAGCGTCTCCGACCAGATCATGCTGTCCTTCCCGACGGGCTGTCTCGAGAAGCTTGAGGGCCCAGGGCAGTCGGGCTAGGGCGCCCGTCATTCCCCCGCTCCAGTTCGGGACCTGTAGAGAATCTTTCGATCTCTGGGATCAGGTCCCGAGGGTCCGGGGGGATTGCGGGCAGCTTTCGAGGTCCGTGGCCGACCTGGCTCGAGGCGCCGAGGCCAGTTCGCGATGAGCAAGGTTCGAGGCGCAAGATGCGGTGGGCCAAGCAGGCGGGGAAGGAGTCTCTCAGGATGAAGAAACCGCGGTCGCTCAAGACAGCTCGCGAGTGCGACGAATCCGGTATGGACACGGACGATGGCTGGGAGTTATCAGGCAGAGAGGAACTCGGCGAGCTGCTGGGGGCCGAGGCGATGCTCGAGGCGGAGCAGCAGATGTTCAAGGCCGGCGCCCTGAAGCTCCCGAAGTGCCAGTGCAACCAGCGGAGCTAATGCCCGAGGCTGATCCAGATCGAGGCGGCCCTCCTGCCCTCCTGGCCATGGAGAGCACGGCCAAGTAGCCGCCCCATGAGTTCAGCGAGACATTCGCGGCCATCGAACCTGACGAGTGTCGCCATTGCTCGGCGCACCTGCGTCTGCGAGACCTCGGCGGACGAGATCTTCGAGGCTCCAGTGCGCGGGCTGGGCAAGCAGGCTCGCCGGAGGCTTCTCGGGTGCTCGAGGACTGCCGGAAGGAAATGGTGGCGCCCTAACGCGCGGGGCCTCGGTCAGTGACGCCCGCGCAAGTGATGGCTCGCCGAGTCATCTCGAGCTCGAGCGGCTCGCGGGGTACGATCGCGGCGGCGCCCGTTCCTCCGATTCTTCGGTCGCCTTGCGCCCCGCCGCCAGAGGGCTGCGTTCCGTTTCATGAAGCCCTGGGGAGGCAAGGCCAGGGGGCCCCCAATCTGTAGGAGATGTTTTCAAGGGGTCGGTCGGTGCGCCGCTCCAGGGGCGTCGGGTCCGAGGTTTGGTTCGGCCGCTGCATGGCCCCGGGGTTCGGGGGTTCAGGATCTCGCTGAGACTTCGGAGTTGCGTTTGAAGTGGCGTCCGGAGACCCTCTCGAATCTCGAGGGCTTCGTTTTTTCTTCGCTTTAGCCGCGGGGCGGCTCGGAGGTCGAGCGCCGACTTCTCCGCGTGGCGCTCGCTGGCTGGAATTGGAGAGGTTGTGGGGCTCCGTGGTTGCGAGCCGGCCCAGGGGACAATCGATCGCGAAAGACGCCCCGGAGATTTGCCTCGGGCCCCGGGGCCTTTGCGCCCCTCAGGGCGCGAGCGGCTGGAGGCGGGGGCGCGGCCTGCAGTGGCCCGGGGGAAGAGCGGAAGGAGTGGGGGCGGGGGGGGCGGTGGCCTCAGTTGGGCCTTTGTCTTACATCGTCGAAGACCGCTTCGCGGCTGTCACCGCAGCTGGCGCGGCTGTCACCGCAGCTGGCGCCGCGCCTGGATTCTCGGCGGGGACTTCAGTTCCCGCGCAATTTTGCGATGCTGCCGAGCGAACCCTCGGGGGCCCGGGCCGCGGGCCCCGGGGGGTCGCGGCGGGGGGGGGATTGCAGAAGGCCGAACAGCGACGAAGAGGTGCGCTCGTCACGGAGGCTCTCTTGAGTCCGGCGCGCCCCTCGAGCTTGGGGGCCGCGAGTGATGGGCCCCCCCCCCCCCCCGGATTACGTCGCGCTCGCGGGAAGGAATCTCGGCGCGCCCGGAGGCTGCGAGGAAGTGTGGTAGCGGCTCTCTCGGCTCCGCAGTGCGCAAGGCAGTCAGGATTGTCCAGGCGCCGCTTTGGCTAGCCGTGGATCCGGGCGACCTCGTACGAGAGGGGCCCGTCGGGCGCATGCGCCCCAGTTGCCGAGTTGCCCGCCGCCCGACGCCCCATGGAATGCATTTTATTTCCGAGCGGCGGGATCGATCGCATTCTCTGGGGCTGGTCGGTGTCCGCGACCACGTGCCGATCCAGCTGTCACGACGGCCAAGGATTGGCCACTGTGGGTTTGGATTCTTCGTGCCCACAGATGGGGGGCTTTCGAGAGAGAAGCAGCTCTGCCGTGCAATTCTTTCGCTTCTCCAGATTGTCTGAGACAGCGTTCGGGCGATCGCTTTCGCCTGCCACTTGCGAAGGGGGCCAGGGCCGGTCGAGCTGAACGTGGTCCGAAGCAGCCGATTGTTTTTCTAGTTTTCCGAATGGAAGCGCCGTTCGGACGCGCCGTCGTCCGTCGCTGGCTACGGCGCGCAGCTGCGAGTCTGAGGGTGGGGTGGGGGGGGGGGGGCGGCTTCCCCGGACGAGGCGAGTGGCCTTGCGGCGAGGGGTCTCGCACTCCGACGCACCTGGGACCGGGGGCCTCCGGGGGCCCAGCGAGCTTGATGAACATTTCCAGCGAGAGGTTTGTTGTTTGCATGTCAAGCTCGGGCATCCAACAAGGCGGATTTTCTCGCGCGCTCGGGGTCGCTCGAGCGCGCGTGGGCCGTGGGCGCGCTGGCGCGTGTCATGTATATATATATATATATATATATATATATATATATATATATATCCGATGCGCGGTCGGTCATGCTCACGCCCGCACCCCGCGGTGGAGACGTGCGCGCCTTCCTGTGACTTGCGAGAGTGAGCGCGTCGTGGGGGGTCGATCTGGTTTATGTGGAGGCTAACTCGGTGGGCTCACGTATCCTCGACATGATGGATCACTGTGCTCGCTTCCGGCAGGCCTGTCTCTTCTCTAATGACGCCGCTAAGATTACCTGGCGCGTCTTTGTTCAGTGATGATTGTGCGTTTGGCGTGCCAGATGTCGTCGTTTTCGATGGGGGGGGGGGCGAAGAGGAGTTTTGTCGTGGGCGCGAGCGCGGCGGCGCATTTCGCCGGGCGGCCCTCGCCACCCCTCGCTGGAGTGGGAAGTGCGACGGGCGCGGCTATATTTTGAACGGCGCGCTGTTCAAGGCTTCTCGCGCTGGGCCCGAGCGCGGCCGAAAAATCGAGCAGATCTTGCGCGAGTGCGCGGCCGCCGGGATGTTCGCGTTCCATCGGGGGAATTTAGTCCGACGCGGCTTGCGTTTGGGTGTGATCCGAGGGTGCCCAGGCCTCTTCTCTCCGACGGCCGCAGGGGCGCGGGCGGGTGCGAGGGCGTCGCCAGGGGGGCCCCGGGCGGCGACTCTGCCGCCGCCGAGATCGCCCGAAGACGCGAGGTTCGGGGGGGGGGCGAAGCGAGCGCTAGCCAGTCTTGATGTCCGTTCGAGGCTCTCCGGAGGTTTTCCGCGCTCGCTGGCGTCCGGACAGAAGCTCCGCGCTCGGCGAGTTGGGTTGCGTTTGGCGCCGAGTCTGCTCGGCCAGCCGCGCGCGCCCCTGCGGCGGGGCAGATGGACGGTGCCGGGAGTTGTCGTTCAC